GTTGTTGGCCAATCGCCCCTTGCACGCTCGCATTCCTCTCCTTCGTCGAATGTATACCAGAGACCGAGAATGTTGCAAGGCAGAAAAGCATATTGGTTCATCGACTGGAAGAGTTTTGAAACTGGCAGGTATAATTAAGAAACGCGTTTTTTAAAATCGTCTTGTCGTCTTTTAAGTTGTCCTTTACCTCTTAAAACCCGAGTACAAACCCGGCCGATTCACCGTTCCATTTGTCTTTGTACCAGCAGCAGCAGCAGCAGCAACAGCATCTTCTCTTTACGGTTTAGCAAAATTTATTCGCACTCTTTGAAAAAACAGGAAAAAGTCACGCACGGCGAAGCATCCAAACGACGACGACGACGACGACGACGACGACGACGACGGGGTTCTTGAACTCTCGGCCGGTGAAAGTTTAGCGAAGAAAGCCAAAGATATCCATCCCGGTGGGGATCCAAGATTCCCGTTTCTCTATGGTCTCTTCTTCTCGTATGGCAATTTGGTGACGAGAGCCGAGGCCATTGAGCTCTTTTCAAGATCACCACTCGTTCTCTCTTTTTTCTCGTCGCAAGACAGGAAAGATCCCTTCTCTTCCTCGAGAAAGTCGTAGAAAGGATAGTAGAGAAATAATTGGTTGAAACGATTGGCGGCGTAACGCCGATCGTGCTCATTTACCTACCTACCCAAGTATGTAATTATATACTGTAGGTATACTGTAGGTGTATAGTTGTGTGTTGTGTGTTGTGCGTCGTCAACGTGACTCGAGGGGAGGATAGAGAAAGATGGCTAGTGTACGAATTTATTCGGAAGATAGGAGCTGCTTTTCCTCAAAATATTTCTAACGTGGGCGATAGAAATAGCAATAGAGCAAGCAACACAACGGTTGCGTTGTATTAGCTAAGAGAGCCAAAAGAGGGAGAGAAAGAGAATATTACGTAGGCGCGTTGTTGCGCCTCGAGACTTCCGCGTTGCGCGACTTTGACGAAAGCAGCAGCGCTCTCCTTTCCAATTCCTTTCCTTTATTTCGCTCTTTTATTACTTTTTAAGGAAGACGACGAAGACATAACAAATGATAACGATAGATTGTTCTGTTTGATTTTTAGAACGCAACTACGATTGGAGAGTTTGGAGGATGCGGTGATCGTGGATAAGGAGGACGACAAGTTGACCGATCGTCGAGGTTGTCCGGCCTACGTAGCACCGGAAGTTCTCAGATCGGGAAGAGCTTATTCCGGAAAGGCAGCGGACATTTGGTCTCTTGGCGTTCTTCTTTATACGATGCTGGTCGGACGTTATCCGTTTAACGATGCGGAACACGCTTCGCTCTTTGCGAAAATTTCACGGGGGCAATTTGCTGTGCCGGAATGTCTCAGTCCCCGGGCAAGGTGTCTCATTCGATCCTTGTTAAGAAAAGAACCGTCGGAGAGACCGGATGCCGAGGACGTCCCACTTCATCCTTGGCTCTCAAAACCACTTCGTCTTTCTTCGCCTTCGCCTTCACCTTCGCCTTCGCCTTTGCACTCGCACTCGCACTCGCACTCGCACTCGCATTCGCATTCAACGTCATTTTCTGCCTCATCGTCCTCGTTGTCCTCATCGTCATCTTCATTGTCATCCTCGTTTCCACCTTCATCCTCCTCGACATCTTCTTCTTCTTCTTCTTCTTCTTCTTCCTCCTCCTCCTGTTATTTCCCTTCGGGGAGATCCGCTTCTCAGGACCAGATCGTACCGGAGCTCGTTAACGATCCTCGACAAGACTGACTCTTCGAAGAAGAGACGATTATTATCCTTTATTCCGCGCGTTAATAGCGCCAGCTCTACGTCTTATTTTAAACAAGCAAACAAACAAACAAACAAATCTTTAAACTAATGTAAGAAAAGAAAGACATGCATATTATTTTTAAGTGAAAAAATTGCGCCAAGATCATCCCTCGTCTCTTTTCGCAGAGAGACTTACCGATTCTTCATTTGTATAATATATGTATTATATATTCCTTGTCTCGTACCATTTCCCTTCGAATGTTAATTTGATTAATATTTCAAATAAGAAGGAACGACGGTGATGGCGACGGCGAGTTTTTACGCCAAGTTTTACGCCAGTTTTTACGCGAGTTTCTACGAGATACGATCGAAATATAATGTATTTTCAAGATTATTCAAACGTATCGTGTCGTTAAAAAAACACGAATGTAATATTTTTTACCAAATGATCTATGTCTTTCGAATCTTTCGATCATATCTCGTAGGACTTTTCCGTTGCTTGCATAAAGATTGATAAAGGCAGGAAAACCGATTTAAATCTTAGATATTAGAGATACGTTATCGTTGTTGTTCCATCGGCTTTGTGATCTAAAGCGCGTTAGTTAGAGAGAGTTATTCCGTAAAATCGATCGATAGTTTTCAAGATCATCAAATTTTCAAAAGAAAGCAGCAACGTTTATTTATATTAGGAGATGCAACGAAAATTAAATGTAGAAAAAAGAAATAGAAAAACGCGTGCTGTGCGAATAAGAGGATGTTTGGAAAGTACCAAGTGTTCTTCTATTTGATACCTTTGAAAAAAAAAAATATCATTTTATATAACGTCTCTTACGCGGAAGTAAGACTAAAAAACAAAGAAACACTCTAGATCGCTAGATTGATGATAGAAAGGTCTCGAGGAAGGTCTCGAGGAAGGTCTCGAGGAAGGTCTCGAGGAAGGCCTCCAGCTCCTTCTCTTTTTCCATTTACTTTTGTCAAACTGTATCTCGTCGATTCATACTCTAGGTGCGTCTTTAGATACGTTAAAAAGAAAAAAGAACATTTTTCGTATCGTTTTAGTCAGGGTATAATGTAATTATAAGCACCTTCTTCGCAAACGGTCTACATGTATATAATTTTCATCGACATCATCTTACCGAAAGCTACAAGAAGACAAACGATTAACTTGAATAATTAGAAAGGATAACGACGTTTCTGTACATAGGCGAAATAAAATCATGTTTACGACATAATTTCACGAAAACGAGTTATATCCTCCTCTGACTCCTTCCTCTGATTTCTTCGTTCATTCATTTAAAACGTCGATACGATAATTACAACATAAAAGGTGAGTTTAAATAATTGCGCGCATTATAAATTATATATTATAAATTAATACTCTAATTGGTCACACCATTGAGTAATGCAACAAGAACGATTAATTGATTGATAAATATAAATCAAATAAATCATTATTATTATTATTATTATTAATCAATGTTGTATTCCGGATAACTATATCAGCGATACTAAGAGTAGCCATCCGTGATATTACAACACCTATGTGGTGTACTTTTGTTAATTTCATTAGATTGAAAAAAACAAAAAAAAATTAAAAAAATAAATAAAAGAAACTATTATTCTTCGGTTCGATCGTCTCGATTACTTTTCAATGATATTTTATTCAATTTGTTATATTTTAGATGATATTAAATCATGCATGAGATTTTCATCTTTATATACCTATCTTTTTATCCCCTTGGTATGTATCATGTTTTTTTATTTTTTTTTTTTTTTTTTTTTTAAATAAAAAAAAGAAAAGAATTAACTACATGTAACAATATTTATTAATTAATATATATAAAGAGAAAAAAAGAGAGAGAGAAAGAGAGAGTACTCACGTACATACATTCATATATATACATACATATACACAATATATATGTAATATGTATATATACATATGGATAAATATACTAATCGTACATAATTATATTTCCTCTTTTATTGCAAGTATATGTCGTCTGTCTGTCTGCTGTCTGCTCTGTGTTTATGTATATGTGTATGTATAGATTCGTCAGATGATATTTGTCGTGGTATTGTATTTGTATATACTGTTACATTTATTACTGTTTGTATGCTTATATTTTCATAACATCATTTTTGTCTGATATATAATCACATAACAGTTTTAAAAATATTTCAAAATTAAACAAGATATATATATATATATATATAACAGTGTAATGATTATTATTATAATAATAATAATGGACAATAATAACTAATAAGAGCATATATAGTAAAATACATTAACGCAATTAATAAAAAAAAAAAAAAATGTGCAGAGGATGATTTATTTGAGTGCATAATTGTTTTTGTATATTTTTTTTTTTTTGTTTCTTTCTTTCTTTTTCTTTTTTACGTTTCCTCTTTTTTCCATACATACAGGAAGAAATTAGATGGGAAGGTAATAATGGAGGGTTTGGGGGGGCGGGCCGAAGGTAGGGAGAAAAGTAAGGGTTGAAGTGAATTAGGTGAAGAAATTGCCAATAGAATAGCCGCCATTTTACTTTACTTCTGTTTTTCTAGATCACAGTCTTATTTATGGCTGCTAAATCGTATAACATATTTCATCACCTTCTTTATTATATATTTTTTGTTCTTTTAACCTTTTCTTTGTTGTTGTTGTTGTTGTTGTTTTTTTGTTTAACCGAAGAAAGGGAGAAGAAAAAGTATACCAAAGCATGCTCGAAATTCTTATCAATACTGGAAAGTAGTTTCACTAGTTTTACATAAGTACAAAATATAGTATATATTTGTTGTTCTTTTCTTTTTAATTTGCTTAAGAAGCGTGGCAAGTACAGAGAGGATGCTTTATCCCTAATAAATCCTTTTGTCTTTTTCCTTTTTTTTTCTTTGTTTAATAACATCATAATATCATCGTCATATTTCTTATGAACTTAGGACCAGCCAGGTATGACAGACAATTTGAAGAAAAACAACGTGACAACGTGCATTGCAAAGAAAAAATACTGATAACAATTTAACTTACGGAATTATTCTAATTATTTATAAATATAATCCTTCTTCTTCTCTGTTTTTTTTTCTTTCTCCTTTACTTTCATTACAATAAAAAAAAAAAAAGAAAGAAATTAATTCCGCCATATTGAAATATATCGATACCGATGCAGCAATTAAAAAAAGAAAAAAGGTATAATAAAAATTATTCTAATAGAGGAAGGTATTTTAATTGATAAAAAATAATATATATTTATAGTCAATTAAAGATTTTAATGTATACTCTTAACGATTTGATATGTATAAGAGCGAAGAAACATCATCTTTCACGTACACATAGCCTCGTCGTTAAATTGTTACGATCAAATGAAATAATCGTTATAAAGATGATTATATCTCAGTTTTAATAAAACAAATATACAAAGAAGCTAAAAATCACAATTGCAAAACTGAGATACTATATATTTATATCTATATATATATATATATAAAAGATCATTATAGGTGTTAAGCATCCTCTTTCATATATTATTATTATTATTATTATTATTATTATTATTATTAGTATTATTATTATTACTTGCCACCGGTGCGTTAATTGCCTCATAGAAGTAATAATTGAAAAAGTGATGAGGAAATGAAGAAATTAATATATGTGTGTTAAATGTGCATGCGTGAGTATATGTGTCAACACATATACCCATACACGCAAAAGAGGACATAGATAAATACACATATATTATTGTATTTATTAAGAAAGAATGAGGAAACCATTATCACGAATGCAAATCCATGATATACGAAGCCCGTATTTTTAACTAATCTAGCCTGTTTCTGGCTCATATATTTATCATAACTATTACTTTGTAAATAATAATAATGTTCTAGCCTATCATTTTTTATTTATTTATTATCCTAAATATTTTATAATATATATGTACATTAATAATACACATATACCATTGTTTATATATTTATTTATATATATATATATATATGTATATTATTAATATAATGTACACACACACAGATATGCTTACATACATGTATATAAATATATATATATATATATATATGCATATAGATGTGTGTATTATGCAGTTTTTTCTTTTGTATTTATTTATTTATTTACAAAATAGATTAGATAGTTATCCTATCTTAACTACACAATATGCGTACCGTTGCGCAAGACTTTAATATATTTCTTTTTTTTTTTTCCTTTTTTATATATAAAGTGCGCTTTATAAACATATTTCTAATGATATTTTACAGTTTCAATTCAACAATCTTTGTTAAAATTCAACGCACTTAGAAACAGATATATTATCATAATAAAATCATAATAAAATGATATTAAAAATAAATTAACTATTCGTAGGTGGTATTAATGTAAAGTAACAAATTAGTTAAAATTGTTAAGAAATTAATGTTCTTGTTAAAACAAATTACTAAATCCAAAATAAATTCAAACTACAAAGATGATGATAATAATAATAATCATCATCATCAATTTCTACGCTCTTAAACATATTTCTGTCTACAACAGATTTCATATCAATAGTTTATATTCTCTGTTGCAACGCCATCATTAATCAATTTTTAATCAATTCGAAGGTATAAATGAAAAATAAAAATAAAACGCCCCTCCTTCAAAGAAAGAAAAAAAAAAAAAGTACATAGCCAAAATAAAACCACTTATATCCTAAAATGGTGAGAGAGAAAAACAAAAAACAAAAAAAAAACAAAAAAAAAATAAAGATCATTTTAAAATAGCGAATAAAAAAGAAAAAAATATATATGCGTTGAATTTGAACAAAGTTCTAAAAACGGTAAATAAGTACTTTCAAGAATATGAGAAACATTACATATTATTCTATATAAAGTGTCATTATTCTTAGAATTAATTTTTATCTAATATGGAAATTTTATTACTGTATGCTTTCTCCCGTTTGTCGCCATACAATGGCACGGTTATTTTTTTTCTTTTTTTTTTTTTACTTTTTACTTTTTACTTTTTACTTATTATAATATGTTCTACAATTCATCAAAGATCTGCTATTATCTGAAAATATGAAGACCCAGCATTAAAGAGATTTGAAATTTCTTTAAATGCTTCTCGCGAGTCATGCTATAGTATTTACAAGTAAAATAAACACATCTGTTCTAACTGCCATCAGGTAGAAATTTTGTGCAAAGTTTATCGCAGTTTCCAACTTTCCTTCTTTTTCAACTTCATCATCATCACCATCATCATCATATATATAAAGTATATAACTAAAGTATATAAACTCTGATTTTTCATATTATAATGTTTTCATCATCCTAATATATACTTTTCTTCAATTACAATTCTCTCTCTCTCCCTCTCTCTCTCTCTCTCTTCGTATTCATTCTCGTCGTAGCAACTTTAACAATATTTAACAATGGCTTAGGCCTTTCATGATTTTTATTAAAAGACGTATTAATATACAAACGTTTTAATAAATATTCAAAATTGCACAGGGAAATAATAATATTAAAATGTTATTGTGATTTTATAAAATAACTGTTATTAATTAAATCTAATTGATTATTTTTCGACTGCTTTATAAAATCAAGTATACGTAGTATTATATTTGTTTGGAATGTGAAAAATTATTACATTTTTTTTCTTCTTCTTCTTCTTCTTCTTTGTTTGTTTGTTTTTTTTTTTTTTTTTTTATTGCTACATTGCCAATCAATTATTATCCGCGAGTGTGATTAACCATTTAGAAAATGATAATTAAACGATCGAATTGTTAATCAACTTGTATAATATCTATACATCATTGTATTTATAGTAGATTAAATACAATTTTACAATGGAATAATTAATGATATTAGATTATTATAATTAATGATGCTGTTATGCAATGAGAGATTTTGCATATGTTACTAATAATATTTACATATGTTCATTGTGACCATATATTCAATAATTACAACAATCCTCAAAAATACAGAAATCATAGAATAGTAGAGAGTGAATAGTTTTTTTTGTTTGTTTGTTTTTTTTTTTTTTTCTAAAAAAGCATGCGTGATTATTAATAAACATTGAAATTTTCTGCAAGCATTTTTCCCCTATTTGCAGACTATTCCAAATTCTTTAGAATTATATTCAAAATAATGTCGTTGATTGGCAATGAATTTAGAAAAGAATTTTCATATTTCTTATCTTTTCTTCTATTCTTGTTCTTGTTACGAAAATGAAATAACAAGGAGGATTAAAATGTTTCATGCTTCTTAAAATTACAATTAAAAATAAATTAATGAACTTTTTACGTATCCAATAAAAGATATATATATAAATATATATATTAAATATATAATCATATTTAAAATACTTCATTTGGTGTTTTTAATATTTTCTAAAAATATTAAACTCAATTTAGCATTTGATATTGGATAAAAAATGTTGAATAAGTTAACTCCAATGTGACTTTAAAAAGCGGCCGATAATATAGTTCAATATTATATATATACAACGTAAAAATATTATCGATGTCTGTATATTAACACGTCTTTTTTACGCCTATTGTCGTCGTCGTCGTCGTCGTCGTCGTCGTATCCGCTCACCTATATATCATATTTGCACAAGATTATACAAAGGTTCGAATTGCACTAAAACCTTGATGTACTTTTTTTTTTACATATTTCGAAGAAATGGTATATAATAGCGATTTAATTAAGCAGCCATCGCTTGCTACTTGTATCTTCAAAGTATAATGATATACTCGTGTTGTGGAGTAGTAATGGGATGCACAGTATCACAGTTGGCACGTGGGCGCTAGCTACCACTACTGCTTACAGGCAGTGAATGTGGTGCTCCCATCGACGTAGGAGGAGCAGTCAATGGTCCTGAAACAAACAAACAAACAAAAAAAAAAAAAAAAAAAAAAAAAGCATTTTACATTAGCAACTTAAGCAATTTCAAGCAAACACTTTATTTGAAATGATTTTGAAATGATATTGAAATGTGTTACCAACCAGTCACGTTAGGCGAGGATTCAGAAACAGGCAGCGGACTAACTAAACTGTTAGCACTCATCGGAGTAGAATTAGCTTTCAATTTTTGTCTGACCTCTCTTATTTTCAATTGTAAACTCATCTTACTAGGAAATACATCAGCATATTTAGCTTGAAAGGTAGAGGTAGCATGCGTTGAAGGAAAATATCCATGTATTCGAAATAATTCCATGACGAGATTTCTCCGATGTTCCAATACTTTCCTATGACCACGATCATTCTCATTTCTACCAATACCTCCACCTCCTCCTCCTCCTCCTCCTCCTCCTCCTACTGTTGCATTTCCTACACCTCCTACGGGCGTTTTTGGTGTGCGCGGTGAAGTATCTTCTACTTCTCCTGCTATGTCTGTATTAAGTCTGTATGCGTCGATATTGAAATCTGGACCAAAGAACGTAGTTCCTGTCAATTTGACACTAGAAGTTGATTTTGGCGTAGCGGACACTGATGCGTCAGAATCTATATCTTCTTCGTTTACTGTAAGAAATAACAATAAAGAAGACACACACACACACACATTTGTTTTTATATTCATTAATCAATCACGTTTTGTTTTTTATTAACATTAAACACACACAGTTACCTACCTCTATGACCTCCTTGAGATTTCTTTCTATAACCTTGCATCGATGCCTGTAAATTTGATGAATGTAATCCAGAAGAACCTGGAGTATTAATAGTGATTGCACTTGGGCTCTGTATATCTTCTGGTTTAAATTCTGGTAACGACGAAAATTTCTCTTGAAAATTGACTTGTTCAAGAACCCTACACAACAAATAATAATTATTTGTAATTATATCTAAAGGTTTCATTTGAAAATATTCAAATCCTTATTTTGGAATTTTATAATATTCCTATATTTGGAATTATTAAAAAGCAATTTTATGAAAATACATACCTATCCATACCATCTTCGACATTTTTCTTGAAGAAGGAGCCTTTTTTAGTTGAAGGGGATGGAGACGTACGATTTTCAGCTATATTTTGTTGCTGCATCGATTCGGAAGATTGATGACAAGTATTTCCCCCCTGTGGTCGATTTTGGTCAGAGCGTTGTTGAGATACTGAAATCCCATGCTCTCCTGCTGCTGTACTGCTTGTTGTGGGTGGCATTGCTGAATATTCATATAGAATTACGAATATGAACATAAATATATACATATACATATAATAAATAATGATCTCTATCTTACCCATTAATTGTCTTCTTTGCAATGGTGCTCTTCCAAGTTGAGCAGGTGTCGGAGCCAGCATAAAAGGACCTTTATTTGATCCTGTATCATTATTTGGGTCTTCGTCTATGGAATACGACGACTTATTTGATGAATGTTCATTATTAATATGACTGCTATGAGGTGTATGTGGTGTATGTGGTGTAAGTGGTTGTTTAATTTTATCATTTGAAGTAGGTAGAAGAATGTTTCCTGTGTCTTTTCTTTCTTGCTCGCTTTTTATATTGCTCCCTGAAACATAGCATAACAAAAATAGCACGTTGTGATGATCGCCACAGATTGCAACAAAAAAAAAACAAAAAAACAAACAAACAAACAAACATAAATAAGAGAAATTTTCGAGAAATGTTGTCTTAAGAATTATTTTATATTCAAAGTTTACCATAAAATTGAGCATGATTTGATCCTCCTATTGGAGTCTCATTTTTATCCGATTCTGCCAAACGTGCGATAGAATGACTGATTCCTCTATAAGGCGATGATGTTGTAGAGTTTGTAGAAACTGCTGGATAATGCTTGCTCACAATAACACTTTGCGCTTCCACCTTGGTACCCGAGATCAAATTTTGCGAAGATATATTGCGGCTTCCGGCATCTAATATGTTTAGACAAAAAAATAAATAAATAAATAAATAAATAAATAAATACAATGTCAAACTTGTTACTCAATGATTCAATCAAATTGTAAACTTACCAGAGATAGGTATATTGAAGCCGCAATACATCCGGGGATGCGGCGTCGTAGGGCCAAGGTACTGCGGTCCCTGCTGTGGTTTGGAAATAGCCACCAAATTGTTATCAAGCAATGTAAGAGTGAACGGTGGTTGAGAAGGGACAGCAGAAGTAAGGGGATGAGCGGTAGTGGCTAAAGACTGCAACGGCTGCTGTTGTTTCAACAGAGCCATCATACGTTTCGTTCCAATCTGTTAGTATTTTATATAGTAGCTCATAAAGGAAGATTGATATAATAATACATTGTGTGGTGTGTGTGTGTGTGTGTGTGTGTGTGCTGTAATATTCACAATACTTACAATCCTATTGCAGAGTATATATTTATAATATATATTTAATTATTTGTTTCAAGAAATTGCTATATATTGCCTCTACACAACATGGTATAGGCCTAGCAATTGTATTATATTTTAATGTATTATTACTCTTTTCTTGTATTCATGAACTGAATCAATAAAATTACTATTAATCAAATAAATTACTACTTGTATCAAGTAGTAACTCATTTTGGTCTAAAAATAAAATAATAGGATAACAAATACTTACCGAATGTAACACAGGAGCAGCTGTAAATTTAGGTACATTATTTCTTCCATTATCAGAATGTATGTTTGCGACGAGACTACTCATGCTATATTGAGTACTATATTGTTGTTCAGTTTTCACTGGTTCCGGCTTTATAACCTTAGGTGACACTGGCATGGTTATAAACGCTCCACCCGTAGGCTGAAATCCTGATACTCCTGTTGGATTTATTGGACTGTGGTAGGGATAAGTGCTTGATAAAACTGAAACTGTGCCACCTTTATCAATGGAAGAATGGTGATACTTAGTTGTGGTTTCTATACTTGTTGATGGTATCCGTGCTGAAGGGAATCACAATTCAATATTAAAATTATAATAACAAGATTATAATAATAATTATCCATCCTTGGAATAATGGAAAATATACCTTTTATAGGTTTAGGTCTACAAGTTATTTCCTGTTTAACATTAACCCCATCCCTTTTCTGTCCACTAACGGGAGAAAACTGTGATTGATTAAACGATTTCTTGTCCATATCTTCCTCTTGTGCATCATTGTCACTGTCAGTCAATTTATCTTTACACTTTAAGTCTATTTCCGGTTGAGGATCTTCGCAAATAACCATTTGGTCATCATCCGATCCGTTAGCTTCTTCATCTTGTTTCGATTCAGTTTCGGTAGTGTCAATTTGTAAAGGTATGTCCAAAATACGATGCGGTGCGTGTGACTGATTAATAATCTACACACGAGAAACAGAGATCGTGGTTGGTTGTAAGACGTAATCTCAAAATGATGAAAAACTATTTAACCCTTTCGCTACTACTCTACTACTCGCATATCTTACAGAAATGTAGCCAAAAATCAAGCCAGATGCTTTCGACTCGATTTCTTCTGTTCACAAACAACAACAACAACAACAGCAACAATTGTAAGCGCTATTTTGTACTTTGTACTTTTTAAAAGGTAATGTGTTACAAAGTCATTTTTGAGACAAAAGTCTTCTTGATTTCCAATGTTAAAGACGCGTTTAATGTTAGCACACTTTAGGACCGCCGTAACCGGTAGAAAGGGTGTTAATCAATGAAAAATATATTAATGTTACCTCGATAGTAGGAGCTTCTGTGTATACTGTCGTAACAGGAATAGACGACACCTCATCTGTTCCTCTTGGCGTTAAAGGTACATCTTCCGTTGGTGGTCCCATATCTGTTTCTTCTCCAGTACTATTTAATTTTCCTCTAGAATCGCTACCCTTAAAACTCGTCGTGGACGATTTTCTCCTATCCTTGCTACACCATTTCCAATCTGGGTGTGCTTTGAAATGTGCCTCTTTAACTTCTGATGCAAGATCATGATACTTTTGTTTTTCATCAGGACCCAAAGCATACCACCATTCCCCCAAAATCTTGGAAACAGTGCGATTATCTTGATTAGGATGTCTTTGGTGAACAACTGCGCGATGTCGTTTGGAAAATATCATAAATGCATTCATCGGTCGACGTATTCTATCCTTTGTCTGTAATCATTTTAAATATTATTTTCAAGAAAAGCTAATGCAAATAATCTACTACATTGTCATGAATTAATATCATTTGATTGTACTTTTAATGGACTCTGTGGCTCCTTGGAATGCAAAGCACTGAGGGATTGACTACGCCTTTTATTAGCAGCAGCATTAGTTTCTATTTCAGCTGGTGTAGTCGGTTCTGCTTCAAAAACATCATCATCTTCTTCTTCGGCAGGAGTTATTTGATCTGTACCTGGTGCTGCTGCTGCTGCTGCTGCTGCTGCTGCTACTGATCCATCCTCGCCAGACGTATTTATACTTATTGGAATTGGTGGTGCACTTAACGGTGGACTGAGAGCAGACGGTGGAGGACTCACCTCTGATTGATCCAAAACTGTTGTTTGCCAGGAGAAAGCTATAAAGTGAAATGAATTATTTCAAATATATATGTGATTATAATTTGATAATTAATTTTATACAATAGCATTTGATGCAATATTACTGTGGTAGTAACTAATTATTGAATACAAAGGATTGCTGTTATATCATAAAGATACACACACACACACACACAAGTTAGTGAATGAAAGAAAATTTCAATTATGAATTTTTTTTTTTTTTTTTTTTAAATCAATCAAATAAATATTCATTTAAAATATATGTCATCTGATTTTTGTTTTAATAATAAAAAGAACATTTATGGATATTTATATATTTACAAAGAAAAACAATGTGAAAATAAATGTTTTCATGGACTGTTATTTTATAATTAAACATCTTCTCAATTTTCATGAATTTTTCATATTAAAAAATAACTTTATTGCAATTAATATTAAAAAACATACAAATATAATATTATTATTATTCCTGCAATCCTAGTAACGTTAGCATTATTATTGTTACAAAAGCATTAGTCCACCAATAGACCAATAGATTAATGTTGCAATAATTAGTTAAACACTCTTCCCCAACATTAAAGTGATTTTAAGCATATAGATTTTTTCTGGCTGAATGAAATATATTATGTGAAGAAATGCAGTTAGAAGTGAAGCAATTATTCAACAATTAATTGGTTACATTTGTTGTAAAATTGAGTATGGTATATTGCATAAAATATCTCTACACAACACAAACACTTCTACTTTAATTTTCAAATAAATACAAATCATTTTCAAATAATAAATCATCAATATTAACATCAAATGTAAACAAAATGTTAATTTTAAAAGGGAGTGATAGATAATCTACTAAAAAAATAACATTTCAATAATGCGCAAATTCATATAACGCGCGCGATATATATTGTACAGGTGTATATAAGGGGGGGGGGGGATGATACTTTAAACGATAAAAGGTACGAATAAAATAATAAACGTGAAGTATATATGCGTACACAAACAATTATTGTATGACTGGTTATTCCCATTTATTAATTCATGCAATAATCGTATTTCAATGCATTTGATTAAATTTCATTTGTAATTAAGGTATATTTATAAATTCATGCCATATTTTATCATATACCATTATAGAGTAAGCTCCAATTTACAACAAATTTACAAGAAGAATAATCATTATCTTTCATTTGGCAGTGAGAACTCAAACCTTTTTTCCAGTTGCGCACTGCATTATTCTGTAATGATGGGGGATGGGGCTGGTATGCGGAAGGAACATCATGGCTGCCATCTGTGAAACCTTACGGTTTAGTAAACATCACTAATATATTGTGATGACATGAATCCAAAATTGCGATAATGAGTAGATGATATTAGAAGTGGAAAGAAAGTAATTTGACTTTGACATAATCTGACAATTGTTTTCATTGGAAGATGCAAGTGTGTGTGTGTGTGTGTGTGTGTGTGTGTGTGTGTGTCTAAATTACATTTAGTTTAAAAGTGTTGTTTGTTTTTGCTTGCATTGTATAATTTCTGTTATATCTAATTATTTATTCCAATTTCAAATATTATTCTACATATATTGGGTACTATATATAGTGTTTTGTAAGTTTAACAAACAACATTTGTTAACTCTTACTCTCTAACTTAAAATAGATATTTTTTACTTTCTTTCCACAAGTTATATATTGCATTAACAATTGTACCCAATAAAATATATCATTTTTCAATGAAAGCCTTTTGATTTCTATATATCCATGTATAATCAGATCAATACCAGATGAAAATGACAACAACAACAACAACAACAACAGAGAACAAGCGCAATGCATGATTTATACAATGTCAACTTACATAGGACTCCGTTATTTTTGGAATTTTCTTCTCTAGGAGGAGCTTGAGTTTTCGGGATCTGTATTAGATGTCCAGGCTGAACTATTACATGCTGGAAGACACTGGTAGGAGTTGATGGATTACTAACTTCTGTTGCACCTGACATTACAACGTTCGTAGATGGTACTGTATTCCTTTGTACATCCATATGCGAGGATGTATGTATCCCAATCTTATTAGTCTAACATATAACAACAATGTTTATATAATCATTTGTTTGTTCTTTTTTCTTTTGTAAATCTTTTACAAATAATAAGTAATACCATATAAATATATATTGACTTGTACTTACTTGTTGTAAAACAGAAAGTTTATCAATATGGACGGACACAGCAGGAGTCGTCTGCGATGACTGACATTGATTTTGATTTAATGATGCTGGAAGCTGTGCCAAATGATTCATTAAACCTTGTCTATATTTATCATCTTGAATATGTCCTATATGTCCTGCCGTAGAGATATCTATATTATTTTTTATAACAAGGTACTTCTTTTCATGCTGATGTTGCATCACATAAATTGGCTGATTTTGTGGCTGTGGTGTTGTTGTCTGTGCATAATCAACTGGTTGTTCTTGTTGTTTATGCAAAAGAGTCAAATTTTGCGCTGGTGGAGCAGATAAAGACATATGAGGTGAATGCGACGATGGTTTCAAAAGTTGCGCATTTTGTTCAGGAACTTCAGTATGATTGGAAAAATTGTTGCTAGATGTCAATGCATGCTGTAATATAATTCCTTGCTGTTGTTGAGCTATAGACGTTACGACTGACGGATGTCTTGGTGGTGGGCTTTGTTCTGACCATGACAAAGTTAAATTTTGTCCAGGCATTCCACGACCCACTGGAGAGATTCTTATTACACTCGTCCCTATACTAGCAGGGACAGGAGCAGTTGGTGCTGGCCGACTTGGTCTAACCATTCGATTTGGTTCAGGTTTAATAACTTGTTGCTGATATTGAACTAAAAAGTTCGATTGCGTAGGAGAATGTTTCCATTTTGCGCCAGGTGAAATTAAGGGTGCTGCGTGATGTGCAGGACTCGAAATAGGCATAAATACATTATTTTGGTTAAGGCCTAACGGTGGTACTGGAGACTGATTTATACACGGTGATATGGAAGATTGACCTGTTGGCGACGAAAAAGCTGGCGTGGCTGATCTAGAGCTTCCTAAAGATACTAAAATACAAATAATAAAGAATTATTTATAAACATGATTTTACATTTGTTTAGTTTCTTATAATAAAACGTAACGACGTATCTCAATGAATCTTACCAAGCATGTTAGCAGCTTCTGTTTCATCTTGATCAAAGCGCCCTGCGATTCTTCTATCTCCATAATTTGGAGAAGTGTCAGAACCTCTTGATGTTTCTTCTCCATCAATTTTTCCACTGTAAATTAAAACATTATTTTAACTCGGATTAAATACAATTCTTTCATCACTGAGATGTGATTACACATTGTTGTGTAATCTCAAAATAGTCATAGAATTATATTGATTACCCAGGGAACGCATTTGAGGGTCCTCTAAGACAAGATCCTTTCAGATTGAGATGTCGAGAACAAAATCCTCTCCTTTGACTTTCTTTAAAACATCCTTCTTTACCACAAAGTCTGCGCCACTGTTTCCCATTGAATTTTTTCGTTATTCCATTGGGCATAGACACTACATCACCCTTTTTATACTTATGTGGCGTAGCCGCCTGAGATCTAATTGATTAAGATTAGTGTCATTAAAATTGTGTTCTTTTAATGTTACAAATCATTTGCTTATAATAGTGTTATTTATGAAAAAAAAAAAACAAAAAAAAAATATATTAGATAATCATCACCTGGGTGTGGCTGCCTGAGAACGCGGTGTTATACTGCGTTGCTCAACTAAACTGCTGGTACTTCCTCTACTCTGCATACTACTACGTTTACTACTTCCTGATAATTTTGCATCTAAAAGTTTGACAAAAGTTATACACATTATGTATACATAATACTAATACTAGTTATAGAAATTAGTAAATTAGTAAATTAGTAAATTATTACCTGCATCTGAAGGAAATGTAATATTTTCCCTATCTAAGTCATCTTCGCTTTCTAGTTCATCATATGGTCGGCTTCCATTACTCAATGCTGTACTGGCAGAATGTGCAGGAGTCCCTAGTGCCATAAGTGGACTAGTACCAGTTGTTCTATAATAACCAGTTGAATCATTATGCGTAGATATATGAGATGCATGGTGAGGAGTATGATGGAGTTGCAAAATTGGCACTGCTGTTGAAGCTTCCACTGAATTTCTATATCCACCATGTTCTAATAAGTTTCAATGAAAAAGAAAACAAAATAGAGATACAATGTTGGTATATAAAATTGATCATATCAGGTATATAAAAGCTGATCATAATTGAATTTGAAAAAGGTATATTACCAACTGCTTCAATTCTGTTAGAGTCAATATCTTCCAGTCCTTCTTCGAGTTCATCCCACCAAGGTGGTTGCACCAAACGCAAATCTGCACGTTTCACAACATAACTCTCACTTTGATCGTCTTCTCTTGGTATTTTAACAACAAAACGATTAGGCTTTGTTAATATTTTGCACACTGTCCCTTTCACAAACACTTTAGTTAATGAATCTATATGACTATTTACTGTTGGACATCTAATGCAAACTTTTGCATCTAAGGTCACTTGCCCTACGGAAGGGCTAGCATCACCTATCACATCATACCTTCCGGCACCTAAAACATCACTATAACGCTCCAACTTTCTGTCTCCATCAAATTCTATGACAATCTCTCCATGAATCACATTACGAATAACACCTGGACGATAATAAGAATCCCTTAAAGCTAACACTCTATGGTCACGCCACTCACTGAGATCAATAGCAACCGTAGCAGGTCGAGGACGAGCACGCATAGGTTCTTCTCTCAAAGAATAATCTACAGCTGTACTCTGTGGAGGTAAAACAACCACCGATGGTGTTGACACCTGATAATAAAGCATAAATTAAGAATATTATTATAATTTAAGTGATGATCATTTAAATATGATTCAAGTAAAACTATGACATTAGACGACGACGACGACTACTACTACTACTACTACTACTACTACTAACTTGGTAACAGTCTGCCGCCGCTGCCGCCGCCGCCGCCGCCACCGCCACCGCTTCTTGTGGTTGCGGAGACTGTCGATTAGCCAGACTTGAATGTTGAACTTGACATAACTGAGCAATATTAATCATATTACTAACGTTGCTCGTTACATTACTAGACTTATCCATTTCTTCGAGTTCTGATGGATCGAATTTTCGTTTCTTTGGAAGTTTTTTAGCGCTAATTGTTGGATCCGATGGATTCCTTTGCGGAGGAGCAGGAGGCGGGGGTGGTTGTTCTTGAATACACTTTTCTTCAATCGAAGTGCCACCACCCCCGCCTGCTCCATATTGTTGTAGTCCTCCTCCTCCTCCTATTCCTACTCCTACTCCTACTCCTACTCCTACTCCTCCTCCTAAGGGACCTCGTTTCTCATGCATCTCAGAATGTGCAGTCAGCATTTTTGCCGCCTCACGATGCTCTAAAAAAAAATGTTATGCAACATTTACTACTTTTCGATGACAGGTGTAACATTTGATTTGATATAAAAAAAAAAAGGTAAACATGTATTAACACAGGAGACTTACAGTCTGTACAGTCGAGAGGAGGCTGCAAGCTGTACTGTGATGAATTGATGCTGGCAGGGGGGTGACATCGGCTGGGAGCATACCTCAGCACCCGACTATCTGGAACAGGATGCGTCGAATCTGGACTTTCTCTTCTATGACAGTTCTGTAATAGGGGTGTTGTTCCCTCTCCCAACTCCAATACTTCTTCCCAACCCCAACTGCCAAGCATCCTCCTCCAAAAGATCTTTTCTTAGATAAACACTTGTATCTTCTTGAACTGTTTCGAACCTCTAACAAAATGTCCTAGATACAAAAACAAATATACAACACAATTAAAATCATCGAAGAGCCAATAATGAAGAGAGAAAGATCTTAAGATACTTTATTTTAATATACACTATAATAACTCATTTACCAAAGTTATTCTCTATTTCATTTACTTAGAAATATAATGTTTTAATATTGTTTTAATAACATAACCAACAATTTGTTGTCAACGTTAAGAAAAATAACTTCTCTCATATGCTTCTGTAAATAGTAAATAAAATTACAGTTTTGCATTTATAATTATATTTAATAATATATTTGATATATGTATAAACAAATGAAATAATGATGAATAAGATTAAATGAATAATCATGAATGCACACACACACACATTAGTAAAATAAGAATTTTATAATATCTTATGGATGTGTCAGTCAACTTGGGGACAAAGGAGCAGCAAGCTGACAGTAGTACGAATCACGCTTGCATGTGCACCGTTCGGGTATGATCGGTAATGACGAAAAGAACCGAAGTATTATTGCGCGAGAGACTGGGATTGCCGACATTCGTTCGTTTATACATTGCGAGCAGGACGGATCCAAATAGTAATCAAATATTTTCGACAATTGGGCCCTCCCACACACTATTCTAATGAATATTTACATGGAAAATTGAATTTCTCAGAAATAGCGTTTCTTCAAGATCTTTGTGTTATTGTTGTGTTGTATTGTAAACGGAAAAATGCACTTGTTCCCCTCCCTACATATATATATATATATATATCACATGTATTTTAAATGGCTACCGACGATTATACATAACAATTTGATAATATAAAAACCTTGAAAGGATAGAAATTGAAAATACGAACATATGAAATTTAACGAAACTAATTCGACTAATCAAAATATTTATCGTTAATGACATTTTGTCATTAAAATCTAATGTCATATAATCCGTTCGTTCGTTCGTTTGTTCGATCGATCGATCGTTAAATTATCGGCACACATTATAAATTCGTTAAATAAACTTGATGTTTTCCCTTTTTAAAATTCACACATTTTTCTTTGGCATTATAGCAGTAACAATCCGACATCGATATATATCGGATATGAAATAATCGATTAAATTTGATGATCTTCCCGACTTTGTAAAAGAAGAGTGAACAACGTGAGGATTAATAAAAATCATAAAAGTTTCCACACATGGGAAAGTTTAAAACAGAAATTACATTGTGAAATTTCTCCTCTCTTTCTTTCTCTGAGGAAAATAAAAGAGCGTTAACTTTGTTAACGTTCGTTTTTCATTTGGTTTCGTCTATTGGTAACGAAACGGAACGTGGGTGCTGGCAGCTTGCTTATCGCACAGTTGCGGGGATTTGAGAAATACATACACTTTCGAAGAGAAAAAGAGAGCAGGTCGTTTCGCACGGCCGACGGCGCACCGATGAATATACAACACAACACAACACAATAGAAGAGAATAGAAGAGAATACAACATAACACAGCACCCACGCACTATTTACTCTCGTAGTAGAGAAGAAAACTAAAACACAAAGTATATACTATTATTTTATTAGCCAATTGTCAACATCATCTATTAGCTATTAAATCATATTATTCACAAAGAACACATTATATTACATATGCATATATACTATATTATATTACTACATTTAAATACATTGTAACTATTTCAAAGTTATTTTGAAAATATAAATAAACTATCACTACCACTACCACCATCATTACTACTACCACACATATAAACAAAAAATAAGAATGGAATTTAAAATATCTGAAGAATAAATGAAGATCAAGATTAACGAGAAATGCATGTATGTTAATAAAGATATTCTCTTTCATCATCCTTTAGCTCGATCTCTGTTCGTTTAAAGAAATAACTTATAGACTCTTGATTAGATAGGTGTGAAAGAAAAAGAAGAACAAAATCGAGGAAACAGGTATCAATAATCGACAAATAATAGACACGAATGTTAACGAAGAAGATTTGACAAAGAAATCATTATTATATACGGTATGATACTCTTAAGAAAATTCTAACCTACCAGCATCCCAATGTCACAACGAACGACTACTACTACTACTACCACTACTACTACTACTACTACTACTACACCTACACACCACCACGACGACGACGACGACGACGACGCCGACCACCAATTGAATTCGAACTAAACGTGACTTTGAAATACATCGAAAGAGAGAGAGAAAGGACAGAGGAGGAGGAGAAGAAAGATGAGAAAAGGGATGGGAGAATTTAGGGTTCAAGGGAGAGAAAAAAAAATGATTTAAAAAAAAAAAAAAAAGAAATTAAAAAGACACCCACCCACCCAGGTGTGTTGTTGTATTTGTAAGTAGTAGTTGTTGACCGATGTACCGAAAGGATTAAGAAGAGGGGAATGCACTAACCTGGCTAACTTCCTACTTTGGCTCTGACTCACGGTGTTTGCCTTGCCTTCGCAAGAGCCCTCTCCCTCCCACCCTCTCTTATCCCGTGCCGCGTCTCGAATCGCTTGCTTGGCTCGGTTTGCCTTACCCATCCTCCTTCCAACCCCCTCCTAACCCTCCCAGAGATTCTTCACCATTGTATCGCGCGTCCTTCTTCTTCTTCGCTTACTCGCCCCTCTCTGAAACTCTCTCTCCCACCACCCTTTCCACGTTCATTCTCCCCTACCGCCACCTACCTACCTATCTGCCAACCACTTACCCTCCCCCACCTATCCTATCCTATCCTTCCCCCACTCCTCTCTTTCTCCCTTTCTATCTTCTATCTTCTTCGGTCATACGAGTTTACTAGTTCTCTCTTACAGGTTATATATATATATATATATATATACACGTACGTATGTATATACACATGTGCAACATAACCCCACCCCCCATTCTTCGGCTAGTTCTCTTTCTCTCTCTCTTTTGTTACGCGTGTAACAGAAGTAAAATTATTCAGAGGAGAAGAAGAAGGAGGAGAAGAAGAAGAAGAAGAAGAAGAAGTTGGCTACATTTGCCGAGCGACATCCCGTCGTTCATTTGTTTCCTTTCTTCGCCATCATTCGTCGTCGTGATCTTTTGCTTTTGAATTTCCTGATCTGTGGTCGTGTTTTCGCGCGACGAATCGGTTTAAAATCTCTTCGTCCGTCGGATTCTTTCTTTCTTTTTCCATCACTATAAGTTGTTTCTTTCGTGCTTCTTTTTCCTGTTTTATTCTTTCTGTTTCTTTTTTTTTTTTTTACCACCACTTGCACGCTTGGCAACACGAAACACGTGTGACATTCACCGTACTTTTCGTTCAAGAAAGCAGCAGCTTCTTCTTCTTCCTAACGCGTTACAGGGATCTTTTTTCAAACAAGAGAAGAGAAAACGAAATAATACGGAAATTGCTTTTTTCTTCTTTTTTTTAACTAACTACTATCAAATGGTATTTAACACTAGATATACCAGAGCAGCCATTTTAATTCAAATTTTCTACTTCGTGTGACATTTAAAAATGTCTATAAATCCATGTATCTATTAAAATGATTATTGTTAAACATTTGGTGTTATTTTTGAAGAGTAAATACTGGAAACCTCAAAGAGCATTTTTTGTTATACATCAGTCATTTTGACTAGGGTGGTAGAAATAGGTATACTGAAAATGGTGGTATATCTAGTGTTAAATCACTAGATATAAGTGATTATTACTATTATTTTATTGTTGTAATATCGTCTGCGTTAAATATTGTACATTAATTAATCAATGTAAAAAAAAAAGAAAAAGTACGTATGGTCTGATCAGCTTACTTTTAGTTGAACATAAACGATATATAAAGACGACATTTAAGTCTCGTCGATATATCGACTTTACGTATCGCATTGCATTACGTCGAGGTCATTTGATATTCTCAAAATACGGGTCTTCTCTATTCGGTAATGAAGTATCCATCCGAGAATCGAGCGAAACGAAATTGTTAATCGAATTAGAGAGAATGTAGGAAGAGTAAAAGAAAAAAAGAGAGAAAGAGGGAGAGAGAAGTTATTTCATTACTTAAAAATGGGATCAAAATGGAAACGAATAATGCGAGCATGTATAAATGAAGAGAGAACCTTTTCGATAATAATTACAAAATATTAGCAATAAATTCCTAGTGCCTTGATATTTAAATTCGTTGCATCACAATCTGCGTTTATTACCATTTTTTATATTCGTCGAAAGAAAAGTATAATTCGGGCTGCTGTTTCGATGGACCCAAAATCGTAGAAAATAACACAGATACGGTTTTAATTTATTAATAAATACTAAATTTGTTAAAAAAAAAAAAAAAAAAAAGGCAATATGAATTTTAATCATTACATTTCATATTTAAAATACAAACAAAAAAAGATATCGTTTTATCGCATTAACCTCGGAAAAGCGCTAAATTGAATCGATAATAATAATATTAATAATAATAATAAAAGAGTTTTTCTCTGATAACGAAGAAGAAATCGGTTTTTATTCGAAAATGATTATCAATCTTTTCTTAGACAAGCAAATGTCATTCCATAAATAAAATGATGATCGACACGAGCTCGATTTTTTGACACACGCGAATCGTTTCTATTATTAATAATAATATTAATATTAATAATAATAATAATAATAATAATCATTATCATCATTTAATCCTAACTTCGTAGAAAATTGACCTCTTGCATCTATCGATTCGATTATCAATAAAACCGGTTAGAATTTTTTGTTGTTACATATTTGGTGTCAACAGATCAAATTTGCAAAAGAGAAAGAAAATGAAGAAGAAGAAGAAAATAAATGAAACAAACGTTACAAATTAGTAAGGTAACTGGATGAAAACTACAATTGAAAAATTCTATAACAGTATTTTTTTCGTTCTTGTTCAAGAGGGCTCTTAAAAGGTGTAATACGCCTTTAACCGAGTTTACACAAAAGAAGCTAAAATATTCAGGTAACAAAATTCTAAGCAAATTTCTTAGAAAGCAGTAGATTTAAAAGAAAAACTCAAACTGATAAATATCG